AGTCATTAACAAATTGGTACTCTGGAATTACAAGCAATTATTTTTCATCGTACGGGCTAGTATAAATTTCAAATCAAATCTCAATAAACGACTTTTATATTTTGTGCATTAAGAATAATAACATACACATCGACTTATTTTCTAGAATCAAATTGTAATCTGTTTTACTTGTATGTATGTATGTTTGTTTTGAACTTGCACCTTGGATAATATACGAGTTACTTTCCATGGTAATATATTATTAAATTTAGATAATATATACTTTATGTATGTTCACTTTGAACTGGCACGTTTATTAATAATATATCAGTTACTTTTCATGGTAATATATTATATTTTAGATAATCATTTAAATTTTTAAAGTTTTAAATTTTTGAGGATCTTTTTTTGAACATGGCCTAAACTTTTCATTTTTATGATTGAAATATCAGGAGACATGGTAGTGTCTCAGTGCTAAGACAAGCGTAGCGACACTACCCTGTACTTTAGTCGGGATCTACATAGGGTTTTAAGCCTTAAGCCATAAGAAATGGGCGAATCACAGTCGATTATTCCCCTCGGATTCAATTGTAATTGGTCAATTTCTTACGACTTAAGTCTTAAAATACCTATTGTAGATCCGGAATTATGCTCGGTCCACAACCTTGCTTTAAGAAGCTCTAAGCTGTAAAGCCATAAGAAATTAACCAACCACAATCGATTATTTTTCTCATATTGAACGGCCTATTAAAGCAAGGTGGACCTAACCTTACGTAACACAGGCGCGATACGTGTTCAGGCCGTTCAGAGTACGTCCAGCAGTGTTAGTAACCGTACGATAATTATCGTACACATACGATAATTTCATTTATATGTACGATGTACGATAGCACTTCATTATCGTACGCCTAAAATACGATAATTTTGTATTTCTGCAAAATTTGCTACTTCTCTCTTAATTTTATATTTTATATACATATTATCAACAGAGTAGGCAGTATATCGACATACTGCGTTCAGCAGACTCAACAGTTTTGCAACCGTTTTATGATTGTCTGCTGAGATAGGACCATTCTTCTAGATCTAAAAGTATGATCCAATTAGCGCGAAGGAAACTTACAACAGTTGCAAAACAAACGTTCTGCTGAACGCACCCATTGACAGTACAAGTGAACTTATACTGTCAACATATGTAAAAAGCTACATTTATACAGTTTCTTTTTTTTAACGTTTGTTTTAAGTATACTGAAATAATCACTTTTCAATTTGTATTTTTAACCTAGATATTATAGAAATACAATTTATTTTATAGGATGTTTAAGCTTTTGCAATCAATAAAAAAAATCAGTTATTGTTTCAATGATTGTGTATTAAAGGGCTTCTAAAGTGCTGAATGGGTAATTTCAGCGAAATTGGTTAAGAATTGATCGAGAAATTTCTGATCTATTTCGGAAGCTGATTTCAGCCTAAGTCACTTCAACGTTAAGTAATAAATAAAATTGTTATTTCTGACCGTCTTAATTACGGATTAAAATCTTACATATTTTGTATTTAAATTTTGTTCGCGCGCGCGTGTATGCTTGTACGATAATTTTGGGTTAAATACGATAATTTCACAGTACGATCGGCCACTGCTTCTAGGTTACTAACACTGACGTCCAGATTATCGAGCCGAAACTCGAGCCAAGTCACGAGCATTCCAGCTAGCTTTTATTGTTTTTTGCCAAGCCGCGTAACAAATCTTTACTGAAATGCTCGCGATTTAACGTTTAGCTTGAGTTTCGGTTCGATAATCTGGACGCACTATAAACACTATAGGTTTGTCGCGTCGCAAGCTCCAACATACTCCTACCGTAACTTCTATTCACTCTATCAAACGCGTTGGAGTGAGTAAGAGCTATGGTAGGAGCATATTGGAACATGTGGAGCATGCGACACGAACAAACCTCATCATGTACCTGTAAATTTCAATACACTTTCAATATACGTGGAACCGTATATTGAGATACACGGATATACGTGTCCTTCAAACCATGTATTTGGATACTCATGAAAAAGAGATTATTATTACTATTTTAAACACAATCCTGATCTAGACATCTGTACAATAAATACAAGAGAAACTTACATGGATGTGAGTTGCGGGATGATGTTAACGCAGGCAGCGAGCTTGTTTTCGACTAGACCTCTTTATGAAAAGAAAAAGAGAAAGATCGTATTAAAAAAACACTTCTCATCGAGGTATAACAATAATTTTTATTATTTTCCAATGTTACTCTTACCGTGCTAATCTTTTTGCAACTGCGTCATCTGGCACCGTAACGTATGTCACGGAATGCACTCCGGCGAGACTTGACATGTTTTGGTAAATCTGGGAACGGATACTCCTTGCTACGAAAAATAGCATCAACACAGTCATGAGAGAAACTCGCGTCATTTATCAGTTTACTACAGAAGTTGTTTGCTACAGTAAAATTTTATTACTAGGTTGGTTTAACTTCGAATCGAACTTCCGACTGATCGATATATATAGGGAGAATGACCATGTGTGTAGGTGGCCACGCCAGTAATCAGTGTTGTCATGATGGAAGAAACTGGAACTTCCATATCCTGCAACTCGCATTCTTGTATCATTGCCCTCTACATATTCCATTGGAATTGTTTCATATTTCAATTTGACTCGTACATTTCCAGAATCGCATACTAAATTCTGCAACCACGATCGATCTTCGAAACTATGTAGAACGAAAATGCTGAAAACAGACACCATTGCAGCTACAAAGACCAATAAAGAATTACTTAATTTATTTATTACTTTATTTTTTACTTTTATAAATTAGCATACATACCAGATTTAGAATTAATGTTCTCTTTACATCAAACTTTCCATTTTTCAATCATATCTGTTCTTTTTGGAAAGCATTAAGAACTTAATTTCCGATTTTTTGTATTGAGCGAGTTATTATACTTGCAGTTTTTTTATTGAACATGACGACATCACGATGAACAATATAAATTTCTTATAAATACGATAAAGAAAGACCGAATCGGTCAAAGTTAGATGTTTCGAGAATAATACATTATATATTCTTTTATTAAATTAATTTATTCCAGATATATAATTGCGAGCTGATAACATTCGGATTCAACGACAATTATTCTGAAACGCTAATAATCCCCCCTAAATAGATTAGAAAAAAAGAAAGAGACTCATTCCGAAAAATATTACCTCAAGGGTTCGAACCTGGGATCTTTCGACTTTCCGGGAAGAGTGTCTTTAAAACCTGATTTATATTGGCCGTAATCGTATACCGGTAACTTAAAGACTATAAATTTATGCCGTAAATTTTGATGTTCTGGTTTATAACGATTTATTGTACAAATATGAAAATCTTTCCACTAAGGTTATTAATTTAATATCTCTATTAACTGTTTCGTTTATTTCCATCTTAGCTCATATCAAAGCTGTACAGAAATGATATAGAATCGGTCACAGTGGTCACACAAGTGCAAACTTGTAAATTTTGACTAACTTCTACATGATCACTTGCCGCTAAAGATAAAGTTTAGTTAACTTTACGGATACAGCATAAGTTACTAACATCCGGCAAGTTAGTATGAACGAAAGCATTGAAATCCTATGGTTGAACTTTACCGGCACTGGCATAAGTTGACGGTTACAGCTATTATAAATCAGGCTTTCATCTCTCTTTACGCTGAAAATTAATATCCAACTTCTAGCGTCAATTTTGACTTTATGATGAGTGATTTATATGTGTTCATGAAATTATTGACATCATCGTTATCAAGTGATGATGTCGAATTAATATTGATAGAACATAAAAAAAATGCAGAACGAAAATTAAATTACATTGACGAGATTGTGCGAAAAATGTCCGATGAAACAGTGAGTTTTACATGTTAAATTAAAACTATAGTAATTTATAATTTATTATACAAAATGTTTTTTTATAGTTTCAGAGTCATTTCCGAATATCGCGGGCGATGTTCTATGAAATTATAGAGAGATTCGAACTGTCAACATTCTATTCGAGTGACAAGTTTCATGGTGGAACGCCAATTTCGTCAGCAGAAAAACATGTGTTAATGTTTTTATGGTCAGTATAATAATAGTAACTTAATTAAGTTAGTATAATAATAATAGTGAGATAAAAGAAAATGAATTGAGAACATACATGTATGTACATCGATTTAATTTCCTTCAAATTTCTTTTAATTTTCAAGATTTGCAGGAAACAAATGCTCACTTAGACAAGTAGGAGATCGATTTAACTTAAGCATTTCAACTTGTGAGAGTATGCTACAAAGAGTGATGGATTTTCTGAAAGATATTGCAAAAGAAGTAATTACATTTTCGCATACTTCGGAAGAGAAACATGTTGTTTCCGAAAATTTTAAAAAGATAATATTCCATTAATATTCCATTTTTATTTTTTATTATGTAAACAATTGTACTACTTTTTACGTCCTCTTTCATTCAATTATTAAGACTAGAATTCCTTTTTCTTTTTTCCCCTTGCCTTAAGTAAGCAATAAATATATATGGACAATTATCAACATAACTTGCCTCGCTTGTAAAAAGAACAGATGTTGAGTAACTTCTTGTAGTTCTTCAGCTAAATTCTCAGGATAAAATTTTAAGAACATGAATGATGTCGTTGGTTGCTGCAAAATGCCTGGATTTTGCACTTTTTTCTAATTTTAACCAAGAAATAAAGTCCTTTTCGTATTGAAGTCCAAAATATCATATTTTTTTCAGTCTTATATTACACGACACACCAAATCAAACAAATCTATTTGTTAAGCTCTAAATTAAATTCAATTTGTACATCCGGGGTGCAGACTGACGGAAAATCTCCGGGACTTTTTCCTTCGGAACGGTAACATCTTATTTCTTGCTGTGTTTGTTCAACATCATAAAAGACACGTTGTCGATCGCTATGTTATGAAAGCACTCGATTATATGACAAATTAGATTTCTAAAGACTTCTAATTAGACGCCGCTAAAATATTGAATACGGCACATTTTCAACATATGTACGAAACAAGTATTAATCGACGAGCACGGCGATTTGTTTCAAGTTTCAAGCGTCTGATATCTTTTCGCGTGCTATTCGCATAGTCATATATCATCCAATTCACAAATTCCATACGACATTGTGTTGTGTATTTGATATTTTCATATACATAGTTGATACGTGCATATGTCTATCGTATATCATGCAAGCTGCATCACGGAATTGTTTAGAATTTTTGTCATATCATTACGACCGTACTTTGCTCGATATTGTTTTTAAACTAATATTGTTAATAATGTAAAAAATTTGTAAAAAGTAATCTCGAATATAAGGAATTATCTCGAATAAAAGGAATTATGGCCTTAATGATGCGTATCAATATCATTAAAATATCTATATTTAAAAAAAAGTTATACATTTAAAAGACAAATAACACTTATTTGTTAAGATTACTGGTTTTGAAGGTGTAATTGGATGTATTGATGGTTCGTACATCCACATTCGTACTCCTGCACACAAATTACGAACAACCTCTGCAAACAGACATAATATGACAAGCATAGTTTTACAAGCAGTATGCAATGATAGAAAAAAAAATTTGTAGATGTCTTCATAGGAGTTCCTGGAAAACTTCATGATAGTTGAATTTTTAAATTATCATTTTTAAAACAGGATATAAAGGAGATTTGCGAAAATGGAAAATTCCATTTATTAGGTGACAGCGCTTATCCTATAAAAAATTTCTCATTATACACCTTGCAAAGATTTGGGAAATTTAACACCATCACACGCACAATTCAACGAAAAATTATCGGCAACTAGAGTAAAAATCGAAAATGCATTTGGATGGTTAAAAATTAGATTTCGACAGCTAATGTTATTGGATTTTCACACTGTTCATAAAATGTAGATTTATCATAGCATGTTGTGTATTACATAACATATGTATCGATGCAAATGATTTATTTTGATATGATGACACAATTAACAAAGAACAGTTCAATGAGCCTATAGGATTTGAAGATAACGAAACTGTATTGAAACAACAGGGTGAAAATAAACGCGATGAAATCAGCAACTGTATGAATAGACGACTGTAAATAAATTGTTATTTTATGTTTCACTTACTATTCACGCACCCAGGTAGAACACGGAGTCATAATTAAGTCATAATGGTATCACAGGACGTCATCATGATGTCATTTGATACCAAAAAATTGACTTATAAGTGACGAATGAGGTCATGATGATGTCTTCATGACTTTTGTGTTCTACTTGGGCACGTAAGACATTTTATTAACCTCCAGTGTACCAGAGAGATAGCATCACAAATAAAAATCGATTCTCAAAAATTCTCTTTTGTTAATTCTATAAAACATACCTCAAGTATTTGATTACATAGATTTTTATATCCAATCCTTTAAAAACTTATAGGCGGTTAATACTATATGTGACTACATTTTTTGTACAAAGGTCAGGTACAAAAGTCTTATACATTTGGAACACATTTAAAACTTAAACCTTTTTTAAATCTCAATTCTATGGAAACTTAAACATCTATAAACTATTAGATTGCATTGAGGTTTCAACTCTTATAAAACTTAAAACTTAATTATACTGGAAAATTCGAAACTGGAACCTTAAATTCTAAATCACTTTTTTATCATAACTAAACAAAAATTACAGCCTTGTTGAATGTATATATTATATATATATAATATATATACACACGATATATATATGCAGAGTGTTTCAAAATTCATATGATCATTACTGCATGGCCTATAAATTGGAATTTTTTCTTTCATGCATGTAAGGGACCAACTTGTTTGGTTATATATTTGTTCAACAAATCCATTTTTTCTTTGTGCCTTCTTTCTTTACCTTCTTCTTTTTTGGCATAAGCTTCTTGCAAAATTTCAGAAACAGATTTTTCGTTCTTTGTCTTCTTTTTTTTCTTTCTCTTAGCACGGAATCGTTAGGAGTTTTATTAATAATTGTACATTATGTACCTATCAGTATCTATATAATATAAATATAAAATACACAGAACAGAGAACATGAATTCGCAAGAAGGTAGAAAAAATATAGATTATTGAGAAATTATTGAGATTTTCAGATTATTGAGAAGTAAGATAAAAATTTAATAAATGGATTATTGTAATATACACATACCCAGATAGCAAAATGCTAGCAGTATGCCAGCAGTATGCCAGCAAACTTGATCATGACGTTACAGCAGATATCAAGCTGCTGCTTCCTCATTAAGCTTAGTTTCTAACAGCATAATCTGCCAACATAGAATGACTGTAGAAATGCAATAGAAATTGAGCATTCTTTGCTATAAGTATCGTGACGGCAAATACGTAGCAAATATTGGGTGAAGTTTGCCATTTCAAATACTAAA